ATTTGAGGGGCACGAGTAGAAGAGCTCTCTACCTAAAATATCAGACATAGGAGTCTGTTAGAGGTAAGATGTTGTTTCAGGTGCCATTAAACAGTTCCAGCTTATAACAATGCCAGGTATCACAGAATAACATGCCACCTGCTCCTATACCGTCTTCACAATTGTGGTTACATTTGAGCTCATTGTTACAGCCACTGAGTCAGTTCATCTGGTTGAAAATCTTCCTCTTACTATGCTTTCCCTCTACTTCACCACGCATGGTGTCCCTTTCTTTTTTTTTTTTTATTTTTTTTTTTTTTTTTTTTTTTTTTTTTTTTTTTTTTTTTTGGTGTCCCTTTCTAAGGACTCCTTCCTCCTGATAACTAGAGGAGAGGGCTATTCCCACATTATGCTGTCTTTTACTTTTCCATAAGAACTGCCCTTCCCATAACCAAATGTATGAGGGGCTAATATGTCAACCAACATTCAAACTTAAAAAGATATCAGCCTATTATACTTATTTCTATAAAATTTCCTATCCAGAGACTGATGTCATGGATCTCATGTGGAGAGAGATGGAGACACCTGGTTAGTCAGACATACCATGGTGCCCTCTATAGTAAAGAACCAAAAAACTAATAAAATATACTCTTAGAACCTTGAAGAGCAAGAAGAAGCATAAAAAAAGTTAGATCAAACAAAGAATAGGAACAGAAGACAACTTCACATAAATTCCCAATCTGGGGGAGAGCAAATGTGGTGAAGAAAGCTAATTGTGCCCAGCTATCAAAAGATATAGCATCTGAGGTCTTAAAGGCTTGAAGGTAAATGAGCGGCCATCTAGCTTAGAAGCAACAAAGCCTACATGGAAGAAGCACAATAGCTTGTGCGATCATGGGAATCAGAACACCCAAAACAAACAAACAAACAAACAAAATACTGTTGAGGATGAGGGGGGTTAGAGCAGAGACCCCAAACCATCTGTATACAATGGGACATCCCCTCACTGCAGGGTGGCAAGAAAGGGATGAGTCAGTATAGAATCCATGAAACACAATATTCTTCTGGTTCCTTGAGGCTTCCTCACCCCCACTATCGTGACCCCAATTCTGCCTTTCACTGCAAGCTAGATCAAAGCATGTACACAGGTACAGAGGAGAGCCCACGACACATGGAATCCAGGTCAGCTAAAACCCTCAAGGATAGAAATGGGAATAGTGATACCAAGAGGGTAGGGGGAAGGTGGGAGAAGCCATAGGGGAAGGGAGAAAGTATCTATGTAAAATATGAAAAAAATAATAATTTATAATTTACTAAGGGGTCACAAGGGTCAGGGGTGGGGGGAGAGGAGCTGATACCAAAGGCTCAAATAGAAAGTAAATGTTTAGAAAATAATGAGGACAACATATGCACGAATACGCTTGATACAATTGATGCATGGATTGTTAGAATAGCTGTTCATGCCCCCAATAAAATGATCTCATACAAATATATAATAATTAGGAACAGTGGCATAAATAAATAAATAAATAAATTATGTAGTGTTGACAATATCCACTCAAAGAGTAACATACTTAGAAATAAATCTAACCTAGAATGTTAAATATTTGTACAAGGAATACCACAAAACAAGATTATAAGTAACCAAATGAGAACCATGCATGGAAAAGAATGACATGCTTATGGGATGGAAGCTTAATATTATGAAAAATTCAATCCGATTCAAAGAAATCTATACATTTTGAATGAAATGGAATAACTAATCTTCAACTCTAAATGGAAAAGAAGAGGCCCAAAGAGGCAAACCCATAAGGAAGACAAAGGTAAGGTGTGGTGAAATGAAATGACTTCCTCCTGGATCTTTAATCTGTGGCTTTCTCTGTTGTTATATTGTTAGGTTCCATTAAGTCACTTTCGAAATAGAGTGAAGCTATGCATGACAGAATGAAACACTCCCTGGTCATGCGCCATCTTCACACTTGCTGTGTTTGAACTCATTTTTGCAGCCACTGTATCAATTACGCTCATTGAGGGCTTTCCTTTATTTCAAGGCCTTTCTCCTCTAATAAATATGCTCTCCCTTTCCAGTAACTTGTCTCTCCTGCTGTCAGATTCAAAAGTACATGAGGCCGCTAAAACCTTTTGTTTCCTAACTGCAGTCCATGATACTTTCAATATTCTTTGACATTAATATAATTCAAATGCATTGGTTAGATTTTGATATTCCTTAGTCAATGCACAACTTTCTCATGCAGATGAGGTAATTGAAAATACAGTGGCTGGAGGCAGACACAACTTTGACCTGAAAATGAATTCTTTGCTCTTGAATACTTTAGAGTTACCTTGTGCAACAGATGCCTCAAACACAATGCATAATTTGATTTTTTGACAGTTGCTTGAATGAGCATTGAGAATCCAAGTAAGATTAAATCCTTGCAGTTTAAATCTTTCTTTGTAACTTCTTTCAAATAACTGGGTGCGATCATGCAAATACAATGTATAACGCACTTATAGAGAGGATTGATTGGTTTTGTTATGCCTTTGATTCTAAGAGAACCAGCTCAGAAGCAGGAAGCGAGGAATTCAGTGATCATCCAGAAAGAAGAATGACCCTGCACAACACGTGCAGGGTCCCTGCGTGAAGTGACGGCGGCAACAGTTACCAGCGGAGGAACCACACTGAGGCCAAGAAGCAAAGCGGAGGAGCAGTGTTGAGATGGCGAGGCAGAGCAGCGGGCTTCCCAGCCCACAGAAGAAAGGAATCCCCCACAAAAGGAAACAACATGACTGGAGCTCTTATAACTGCTGACGGACTGGGAAAATGTCACAAACACTGAGGTAAGTCTTCAAGTAGACAGAAACTCAAATATATTTTGATCCAGAAACTCCACTTCTAGCTATATATACTAAAAGAAACAAGAGTAGTGACACCCATAGACACACACATATCTCTGTTCATCATCATTATGGCCAATCGCAAAACGATAGAAACTACCTCAGTGTGTGTACTGATAGTATGCAATTACAAAGAAAGATGAGCCATTGAAATCCTTTATCACATGGATGAATCCGGAGAACATTAGCTGAGAGAAATACGTCTATCACAAATAGACAAATATTAGATGGTGTTAAAACACACAGCGAGGATTACCAGAGATGACAGTAGAATGAAGGGGGGATTACTTGCTAGCCAGTCAAACCCACACCAAACACAGCTATCAAGTGAATTCCAAATCAAAGGGACCATATAGGACAGAGTAGAACCAACTGCTCTTCCAGGTTTCCCAAACTGTAAACAGTTATGTAAACAGACAGATTTTTTACCCGAACAGTTGGTGAGCTTGAGCCACTGATCTATGGTTAATAGCCCAATGCTCAGTGCACAGAACCACTAGGACAAGTATCCAATAGGTCTGTTATTTCTGGTGAAGGAAAAAGTGATATACAATATGGAGGAAGTCAACAAAAATGAACTAAGTTAAACAAAGAAAGTGAGAGCGACACAAGAATAAAGGACAATTATGATAAAAACTATAACATTGAATTTTGTTATACTTTTTATAATAGTAACTTTAACAGTTGAACTATGTGTGTTGCTACAGTGATATATATATACATATATGCTATATATGTATAGGAATGTAGATGTATGTATATGTACATGCATATGTAGGTATATTTCTAGACATAGCACCTTGCAGTATCAGTTTACTCATGTAAAGGGTTTCGGATCATAGTCTCTTAAGACAATTGGCATAACACAGTTCATAAAAATAGCATTGCACAATTAGTTTAGGTAGTAGCATCTGTAGTCATAAAAACTTGTAAGCAGCCACTTAAGATACAATTATTGATCGTTTTCTATCTAGAGCAAAGGAGAATAAAGGAAACCAAAGATTCAAAGAAGAAACTAGTCTACTGTACTAAGAAATCACACAAACCAAGGCCTCTTTCACTTTGAAACCAGAACTAGATGGTGCCTGGCTATGGGTAGTGTAAGG